TGTTTATATTCCGAATCTCTTTCATGACCGCTTACGGTCGTCTAATTCTTACAGCTCGGCCATTCTGGCATTACATTCGTCCCGAATGTACCGAGTTTTCATCTACCGGAATTTTATCCGAAACTTGGAGCTTCTGCTCCCGAATTCGTTTACTTTTTTGAACGATCGACATTGGAGTACTTTTACTCCCCGACTTTTTTCGTCCACTTTTTGAACGATCGACACGACATTGGAGTACTTTTACTCCACGACTTTTTCCGTTCACTTTTGAACGATCGACACGACATTAGAGTATTTTAACTCCCCGATTTTGTTCATTTCGAACAACACACAAACGACACACACAAAATCGACTGAATTCTCCCTGTCAGGTAACATAGGCTATATCCTCTCTGAGGTAACATGGGCTGAATCCCACTTCTGAGATTGAAAGATATCTATTAGATTCGGAAAAAAATTAACGGAGATCGACTGGATTTGAACTCCGAATCTCTTTCATGACCGCTTACGGTCGTCTAATTCTTACAACATATACTATTATAGTACTACTAGAATAGTTTCGACGAGTAACGTCATCTTCATGTTAAGGCTCAAAACTTTTCAGACTACCCTCGTATATTAATACATACAATTAACACATATTAACATAATTAATACATATGCATAATGTGTTATGTATAATGTTTTGATTAATGTTTATTTTACAGATCATACTAATCAGGATTGGTGGTTTGTAAAGAAACATTTGACCGAAGAAAAAGGTTGGGTACCAGCACAATATTTATTAGATGAAGCACATTACACTGTTTACTTGCAACGAAAACTGCATGAAAAGATTGATAAATTGCCAATCTTTGAAAGTAATTATCGTATTTATTTATAAAACTCAAGAAAGAAATCGAATAAAACACACAATATATAAAGTTAATATATCATATTGCTCTCATTATATGCGATTATTTGCAATTTAGAATTTGAAATATTTGTAAAATATTGATAGCTTATACACATATTTGTATTTTCTTAGAACCGGCTCCTGGAGAAAAAGCTTCAGCACCAAGATTTATTGAAAAATTGCAACCAATTCATACATTAGATGGTTACACTGTTCAATTCGAATGTCAAGTAGAAGGCGTACCAAGGCCACAAATAACTTGGTTCCGTCAGACTGCTATTATCAAACCATCTATTGATTTTCAAATGTATTATGATGAGGATAATGTTGCTACGTTGATAATCAGGGAAGTTTTTCCCGAAGATGCTGGTACTTTTACTTGTGTTGCAAAAAATGCTGCAGGATTTGCATCCAGTACCACTGAGCTTATTGTCGAAGCACCTCTATCAGATCACGGATCAGACGTTACGGGTTTGTCAAGAAAAAGTCTTTCAAGGTATGCACTTCTCTTGAAAAAGCTATTGTAATCAGAATCATCTATCACTTTTTTCAGTTGGAACTAGCTTAGTTTGATAATATAAAATTTGTAAAAGTAACATGATATTTACTACTCGTCATAATTTTGTATTATATTGTATTATAATTCGTATATTATTATAATTATTATATTATTTTTTATTATTATTACACTGTTCAGAGAATCATCACTTGCGGACATATTGGAGGGTATACCACCTACATTTTCTCGTAAACCAAAAGCGAAATATGTTAATGAAAATGACGATGTGATATTAGAATGTCGATTAGTCGCCGTACCAGAACCAGAAATAACATGGTATCATAAAGATATTCAGTTAGTTAGCCAACAAAACATTGTAATTGCAACCGAAAGCGACATGCATATGTACTGCAGTGTTATAAAGATCACCAAAATTCAAAAGAAGCAGGAAGGAAAGTACAAGATTATTGCTAAAAACAGAGAGGGTGAAGCTACCATTGATATTCCTATAAAGGTTGATCGACAATACACAAAGCTATATTTATTATTAACTCACTTTTATGCATTATATATGTAATATAATTAATATATTCTCTTGATAGGTAAAAACTGGAAAGAGCGAACCACCCGAAATTTTAGAACCATTACAATCTCACATAGTCAAAGAAGGCGAGACTGTCGTTTTATCGACTCAAATAGTTGGTAATCCACCCCCGAAAATAATATGGTATAAAGACGGAAAGCCAATAAAGAGCTTGCAGTCAAAACAAGACGGACATATTAATTCATTAAATTTAATCCAACCTCAATTAAAAGATAGTGGAGAATATTCGGTCACAGCTGTCAATAATATGGGTAGAGCCGAGACTCGAGCTACATTGACTGTAGAGAGTAAGATCAATTAAATGTTTTTAATTGCACTACACATTGCGATCTAATTTAAACGCTTAGCTTTTTCTTCATTCTCATCATATTTATTTTTTCATTATCTTCATTTGCCTCTATAAGAATCAATCAATAATTAATATTTACTTCTGATAGCTAACTAATATTAATTAAATAAAATAAATTGTATTTTATTTTAATGATTTCTCAGGCAACAAAATATCCTTGATTTATTATCAGATGTAATCTTATAAAACGCTTCTTTACTAATGTGTTTTCAGTTAATTTCGCACAAAGCAACACTAACATTCAACATTATGAACAACATATGAACGACAAGCATATCTCGTTTATTAAGGGTATGATATAATGTACATTTTATATTGCTGTGTTGTCAATCGTTCAATACAATTATAATTTTTCATATAAAAATGATTCTTTGTAGTAATAATTCTTTTATATTTGTGAATTTCAGAAATATCAAGTGACGCCCCAGAACCTCCATTGTTTATCAAACGTTTCCAAGAAATAATCGTTCCAGAAAATAGTACTTTTACGTTAGTTGCCAAAGTAACTGGAAATCCCATTCCCGAGGTTACTTGGCTTAGAAACAATAAACCTCTTGATAAATCGGCCAATATCATAGAAAATTATGACGGCGAAAACATTCTGCTTCAAATTCAAAACGCAGATTCTGAAGTTGATGCTGGAGATTATAAATGTATTGCTAGTAATTCAGGCGGGAAAGCCTCTCATGGTGCAAAAGTTACGGTAGATGTTGCTAAAGTCATTTTCACAAGAAAATTGCAAAATGAGATTATAATCGATGAGTATAAAACTCTAGAATTGAATTGCGAGACATCTCATACTGTTTCCACAATATGGTGGCATAATGACAAAGAAATCAGCGGAATGGATCACCGTGAAATAATCCAAGAAGGACGTCTACACAAGTTACTTATTAAGAAGAGTGGCCTTTCCGATGCAGGAACATATAAATGTACTGTCAAAAATCAAATGACTTTTAGTAATGTTATTGTCAAAGCTACCAAGCCGGAATTCGTTAAGAAGTTACAGGACTTTGAGGTAAAAGAACGCGATGTAGCGATTTTAGAGGTTGAGATTACATCTCAAACAGCCGACGTTACATGGCGAAAAGATGGCGAATTATTAATACCAAGCAAAGAAAAACTAGAGTTTGTAAAAGATGGTACCGTGAGAAAACTTTATATCAGAAATGCATCAGTTCATGACGAAGGTGAATATACATGTGCTCTTCCGGATCAAGAATGTACAGCAGAAATTACGGTTGTCGAATTACCACCAGAAATTATTATAAAAATGCAAGATATAACTATAGCTAAAGGAGAGAAAGCAATGTTTGATATAGAACTGACGAAAGGTGACGCTTTGGTACGTTGGTTCAAAGACGGTCAAGAATTGCAATTCTCCGAGCATGTGCGATTGTCAATCGATGGTAAAAGACAGAAATTGAAAATCTATGACACCGAAATAGAAGATGCAGGAGTTTATTCCTGTCAAGTTGGCGATCAGACTTCATCAGCTAGACTGACGGTTGAAGAACCTGAAGTAGATTTTATTAAAAAATTGCCAGATGTTACTTTAGTGCCTATCAACACCGATGCAATTTTTCTTATAGAATTATCTCGTGCCGATATACTAATAACATGGTTAAAGTAAGTTATTTATTAACATTATTATAAATATAAAAGTATAAAAAAATTCATTTTTTGATAATTATAATATAATCGAAAATCAAAACATATATACATAATGGATTGTGTATGAAATTTATACAGGAAAGGTGAAATAATCGATTATGTATCATCTTCGAAATATAATATAATTGACGAAGGAAATATCAAGAAACTCATTGTTTCAAAATGTACAACCGAAGACATCGGTGAATATACTGCTGTAGCTGCTAATGTAAAGACATCATCTAGATTGAAAATCGAAGGTAAATTTCTTACATATAACTTTTTTTTAAACATCCAAAGAACTTAAGGTATATTTTATATAGAAAAATGCGAGCGCGCACATGTGTATAATGGATTCCATAATCAATCTTATTAACGCGCATTTCAATTTTCTAGTTTGTATATAATTCAAATATAATATTTTATATAAATGTCCATTATTACAGATGTCGGAATATCGCCTAGAATTCATCCTGATACGCTCAGAAAATACAAAACGATGAAAGGCGATGATATTGACATCGTTGTAAAATTCACAGCTATGCCAACTCCAATTGATGAGTGGACTGTCAATGGCCACGTTCTTAAAAAATCTAAACGAATCATTCCGTCCATCGATGGATGCTCAGCCGTCTTAACGATCAGAGCTGTACAAGAAAAAGATTTTGGTGATTACAATCTAAAACTAATTAATCCTTATGGAGAGGAGAATATAGAAATCAGCGTCATTGTTGTGCGTAAGTATTTATATATTTATCTGTTGTATATTGGAATAATCTTCCGGAAGAAACATCATTTTCGTGAAATAATAATAAAAATATACGTGTACGATATACGTGTGTGTGTGTGTGTGTGTGTGTGTGTGTGTGTGTGTGTGTGTGTGTGTGTGTGTGTGTATATACATGTATATATGCGTTGCAGAGGTACCTGGAGCACCAGGAATTCCAGAACCTCTTGAAATAACCGATAACAGCATTACTCTCCATTGGAAGAAACCAGATTCAGATGGACACTCTTCAATCATAGAATATATTTTAGAATATCATGAAAAGACAGAAATTTTGTAAGTAATGTACAAAATTTATTAGACTTCTTAACAAATCAATGAAAAAAAAATAAAATCTAAATATTGTGTATTTGAAATTTCTATGATTTGATTAATAAGTAAAGAAATGATTTTATTTTAAGATGGAACAAAATTACGGAAACAATAAACGAAACTACGTATAAATTGACGAATTTGACTACCGACAAAGAATATACTTTTCGCGTAACTGCTGTTAATGAAGCTGGATCAGGAGAAGCATCTCCAAATACGCCATATTTAAAAATTTCTAAATTATCAACATCCGAACCACCAACGGTTCTCGAAGCACTTAAAAGTATTGTGATTGGATTAGAAGAGACTGTCACACTCTCTTGCGTAATTGGTGGTGTGCCAACACCTCATATTACATGGTAACTTTTCGTTTTTTCACTTTTTCTGTAATTACTGTGTAGCTAAACATATATTCAAAACATACCTTGAAAATCATTTTCTAGGTTGAAAGATGGCAACGTTTTCGAAGATGATGATATTACGTATGAAAATCACGTAGCTAAATACATTATTAGGAAGACCACCGAAACCTCTTCGGCTACATTTACAGTCAAAGCCCAAAATGATGCAGGAACGGTGGAAACATCGTGTCAATTAAAAATCCAAGAATCTCCAAAGATTACCTGCGATGAAAACTTAAGAAACCAAAGATTAACAGTAGGCGACAAATGGAAAGTTGAAATTCACTTTAGTGGTTTTCCAAACCCGGAAATAATGTGGACAATGAATAATAAAAAGATAATTGATAAACGCATTTTCATTGAAACTAAGAAAAATACATCTGTCATTATGATTCCTTCGCTTATTAGAGATGACACAGCCATCTATACAGTGAAGGCGTCGAACGAAGCCGGTAGTTCGTCAATGGAATGTCGTCTACATGTCATAGGTTGATATCTTTTTTTTATATTTCTTAGATCTGTCAAAGATGACTTGTAATAGCTTTGATTTAGCAATCAACTTAGTAGTATGTATGTATATATGCGCGCGTGCGTGTTGTGTGTGTGTGTGTGTGTGTGTGTGTGTGTGTGTATTTTATAAGTTAAATTAAAAATTAATAATATGCTTAATACAATCCATATTGTAGATAAACCGAGCAAACCTCAAGGACCAGTTATCGTAAAAGAAATCAGACAAGATCGCGTTACCATAGAATGGCAACCGCCAAAAGACGATGGTGGCGTGGAATTGGAAAGATATATCATCGAGAAATGCGAAGCGAGTAAAAAGAATTGGACAAAAGTAGGTGATGTCGACAAAGAGGTCGAAAATTTCTGCGCGCAGAAATTACAACAAGATATTGACTATCTATTCAGAATTGTTGCTAGAAACATGGTTGGACCATCAGATCCTTTGGAATCCGAACCAATTAGAACAAGAACTTCATTTGGTAAGAAAAGAATTATAATCTTAATTGTATTAAATAAAAGAATGTTAAGTTATATATAATTTTAAATAAATATATTTTAATTATTCGATACAGAAACACCAGGACCACCAAAAGGACCACTCCAAGTTTCTGGAATGACGAAAATGTCATTCACATTAAAATGGGAACCACCAGAGAATGATGGCGGTACTCCTATTACAGATTACATTATTGAAATAAAAGAAATATCGAAAAAAACTTGGCAAAAAGTTAGTAGTATGATTTACTTAATTACTTAATACGCCGCACCACCAAAAGTATGTTTGCTAATTTTTATCTATGATGATTTTTTAGATTGCGAATACAAAAGGAGACATTACTAATGTTACTGTAACTGATCTAAAAACGGACACATCATACAATTTTCGAATAACAGCCAAAAATAGTGTTGGTATTGGTCCTCCGTATATAACAGAAGAAGCAATTACAACCGGTAAACGACCAAGTGAGTTCATTAATAAATCTTTAAATAGATCTCAGCTTATGAAATTAACTTATTACTGATTTTGATTAATTCCCGATATGTCATTTAATTATTAACATATTGGCTTTTGCTTCTGCTTTTATTCAGAAATAGTAAAGCTTACAGAAAATAACATATATGCGCTATTAGGCATATTTCCCTCAACCAAAATGATCATCGTTAAGAGTAAGTTTCTTGTGTCTTCAACTTATTCCTTATATCCAACTCATATCTTGTGCTTTC